TGGCAGTTCTGAGCGCTTTGACTATAAACCTGAATTTTAGAACCATTTGCTGCTGGGATTTCCATTCAGATGGTGTGGAATCTGTCCATTTTATGGAAGAAACTGCATCTTGACTATAGCGGAGTCTTATCATCCATGAACATGGTATATCCCTCTGCCTCTGTAGGTCTTTCTCACTTTCTTTCTGGAATGGTTTGTGTTTTTTTACTTTACAGGCCTTTCACATTTTTTGTTAGATTGATTCCTAAGGATTTAATATTTTTTTAAAAAGATGTTATTTATTTATTTGACAGAGAGAGACACAGCGGGAAAGGGAGCACAAGCAGGGGGAGTGGGAGAGGGAGAAGCGGGTTTCCCGAGGAGCAGGAAGCCGGATGTGGGGCTTGATCCCAGGACCCGGGATCATGACCTGAGCCGAAGGCAGACGCTTAATGACTGAGCCACCCAAGCACCCTAGATTTAGTATTTTTGATGATCCTGTAAATGGTGATGTCCTTTGAATTTCAGTTTCTGAATGTTCTTTGCTAAGATGTAGAATTACATTTTATACAGTCAGTGAGTTCCCATCTTTCAGCTTTGCCGAACTCATTTGTTCTAGAGCTTTTTTCTACATTTCATGATTTTTTTGTTTGTTTGTTTTTGTTTTTAAAGACAGTGGTGTCGGGGTGCCTGGGTGGCTCAGTGGGTTAAAGCCTCTGCCTTCCGCTCAGGTCATGATCCCAGGGTCCTGGGATCAAGCCCCGCATCTGCATCCCCCTCTCTCTGCCTGCCTCTCTGCCTACTTGTAATCTCTGTCTGTGAAATAAATAAATAAATAAAATCTTTTTTAAAAAAATAAAGACTGGTGTCATCAGTGACTAAAGACAGTTATACTTCTTTCTTTTCAAACTGGATACTTATTATTTATTTTCTTGCCTAATTGCGTTGATGAGACCCTCTTAGACATCCTTGCCGTGTTCTGGAGCTTAAAGGGAAAGCATTCAATCTGTTGTCCTTAAATTGGGGTTTGTGGTAGATTTTTACCAAGTTGAGGAAGTCTCTCTCTATTTTGATTTGAGAGTGTTTATCAGGAAATGGATGTTGGATTTTGTTAGAGTTTTTTTTCCCCCGATTAATTGAAAAATTGTGTAGGTTTCTCTTTTATTTTATTGATTGTTATGTTAAACAAGCTTTGCCTCCCTGGGATAAATCCTGTTTGCTACAATGTATTATTTAAAAGTGTGTTTAATTTCTAAATACTTGGGGGATTTTGCAAGGATTTTTTTTTTTTTTTATGGTTTCTAATATAATCCCACTGTGGTCAGAGAACATATTTAGTATGGCTTGAATACTTTTAAATTTATGTGGACTTGTTTTATGTCCCAGGCTGTGGTCTGTCTCAGTATGGACATTACATATGCACTTGAAAAGGTTGTGTATTCTGTTGCTGTAGGTCTGATGTTCTGTCAGTGTCAATTAGTTCAAGTCTTTTGAGAATGTTGTTCAAATCTTACCTATCTTTGGTTATTTTCTGTGATAATTATCAATTGTTATTATTGATAAAAATAAGTATTAGTGATTGGGAAGGGGTATATTAGTTTGCTGGCGCTGCCATAACAAAATTTCAGACAGGGGACTTAAACAACAGAAATTTATTTTCTTGCAGTTCTGGAGGCTAGAAGTCCAAGATTGAGGTGTTGACAGGCTTTGTTTTTCCTGAGGCTTTTTCCTTGATTTGTAGATGGCTACCTTCTCAGTGAGTCCTCCTCAAATGGACTTTCCTTGGTGTGCAATCTCCCCACCCCCCCAGGTGTCTCTTCCTCTTCTTGTAAGGGCACCAGTCCTACTGGATTAGGATCCCACCCTTCTGACCTTATTTGACCTTAATTACCTCTTTAAAGGCCTCATCTCTACATACAGTCATATTGGGAGTTAGAACATCAACATAAGAATTTCATGGGGACATGGTTCAGCCTAAAAGAGGGATAAATAAGTTTCTGACATATTTACACATTTGCCTCTTTATGTCTTCGCAATTCTTTCATTTCTTGCTTTATGTATTTTGAGGGTATTGTTAGTAGGTGCATACAGTTTTAGGATTGTATGTTCTCTTGATGCATATACCCTCTTATCATTATGAAATCACTTTCCATATCATTGGTAGCATTCTTTGATCTGGAGTCAGCTTTGTCTGATATCAATATAGCCACTCCAACTTTCCTTTAACATTATCCTTGTGTATTTTTTCTGTCTTTTTTGTTCCTAAAGGAATATAATCTGGCAATCGTTGCCTTTTAATTAGGGCACTTAAACTATTTACATAATGTGATCATTAATAAATAATAAGGTTTAAGTCTATCTATCATCTTGCTATTTGTTTTCTGTTTCTGTCACCTAGTTTTTGCTCTACTTTCTTTTTTGCCATGTTTAGATTAATTGAAGTTTTATTTTACTTTTATTTTTAATGTTTTAAAGATCTTATTTTAAAATAATCTCTACACCCAACATGGAGCTTGAACTCATGACCCTGAGATCAAGAGTCCTGTGCTCCACTGACTGAGCCAGGGAGGTACCCCTAGATTAGTTGAACTTGTAAGAAGTAATTTCATTTTATCTGTTTTGTTGGATTATTACCTATCGCTCATTATTTTAGTAGTTGCTTTGGGGTTTATAATGCATCTCTCTCATTGATCACACCTTGCTTCACAGGATAGTATGTGATCTAATGAATAGTACAAGAGCCTTGCAGTAGAATGCTTACATTTCTCTTTTCCTGGGCTTTGTGCTGTTTTATCATAAATTTTACTTTTATGTCTGTGGAACCTCATGTTACATCGTTAGTAGTTTTTGCTTCAAAAGTTAATTATTTTGTAGTGAGTTTTTAATCTTAAAAGAAAATCTCATGTATTTATCCACATACTTGCCATTTCTGGCACTGTTCCTTCTGTGTAAAGCTGTCTTTCCAGTTGTGAGAATTTCCTTCATGCTCAGACTATGTTTAACTCCTCTCGTAATGTATGTCAGCTGGTGATGAAGTATTTTGGCTTTTGCATATCGCAAAAATTTTAAAATTCACTTTAATTTTTGAATGCTGTGTTTGCTGGGTCCAAAATTTTAGCTTGGCAGAATTTCTCCTCACACCCTGTATCTCTCTATGGTTTTCTCCCTGCCTTTACTTTCCATGAGAAATCTGTGATTGTGCTTATGGTTGGTCTTCTTCGTAATGTGGCTTTTCCTCCTCTCTGGGCACATTTATGATTTTCTGTGTATCACTGGGTTTGGACAGTGTGATTATCATGTGCGTTGATGTCATTTCTGCCACATTTCTTGTACTTGGGATTTGTGAAGTTTCTTCACTCTATGGGTTAATAGTTTCGCTCTGATTTTGGAAAACTTTTAAGCATTATATTTTCAGTGATCTTCCTGTCCCCTCTTTACAGAGACGTCAATTACACATGTGTTGGGACGCTTGAACTTTCCCACAGCTCACTGATGCTCTGTCTGTTGATCTATGTGTTTACTTAGGTGGTCCCTCTTTCTGTGCCTTATTTTGGGCAGTTTGTACTGTGACGTGCACGTACACCACACACGTGCTCATCAGTGCTCGGCTGAACATTTTGGAGGGCCCTTGTGCTCCTCGTAGGGGTTCCAAGCATCCCCGTTTTGTGGTGCTCTGGCGAGTGAACTCTTGCTGCCCTCCTCTGCCTAGACTCTTTGCACTGTCTTCTCTGTTCCAGGTAGTACACTGGTCCCCTTCCTTCTGTGCATCCTTCCGAGATGCAGGAATCTGGGGCAGTCCTGGAGCTCACCTCCCTGTTTTCCAGTCTCTGAGGAACTAGATAGAGTGGTTTGCCTGTTCATGAATGTCCTATAAATAGCCATCACTGCGTGCCTCTCTGTCAGAGCTCTTTCGCTCAGCGCAGTAACAGTTGATGCTCACCCGCGATGAGTAGCATGTAATAGTAGCAAGCTCTCGTGTGTCCCTGAACAGTGGCCCGGCGTAGGAATATATCACAGCTTGTTTATCCTGTCTCCTTTTGATGGGAATTTGGGTTATTTCTGTTTGGGGCACTTTTAAATAAGGCAGCTCTGCCCATTCTTGCACAAGAATTTGTGGGCATATATGTTTGCTTCTGTGGAGTGTCCCTCGGAGTGGAATTGCTGAGTCACAGTGTTGGTGTAGCTCTAAAAAATCTGTAAGAAACTACAGTGGTATCATTCGTTTCCCATTCTGGCCAACACTAATCTTCCAGGGGGCTGTGGTTGCTTCGGGTGGTCAGTACGGGCCTCAGTGGATCATCGCGCTGGGAGAATATGCTGCCGTATGTCACCACTTGGGTAGAATGATGGGGGTTTGGTTCTAAGGCAAATTGAATTTTTGTGAGATGATCAGATACAGCTGTGAACCTTGACCCTGCAGACAGGGGTTTGGTAGATGAGGGGCTCAGGTATCCCCAATACCCACATGTGTTGTGAACTCTGTGCTGTGCTGGGTTTAGGGGGGAACCGTGTATCTTAACGTGCTGGTCTCCCATAACGGCTTCTCCGTCTGCAGAAGTGCACTCGGAGAGGCCCAGGGGCTGGGAGGATCCGTCACTGGCTTCCTCCGAACACGGTTGTGCTATTTGCTGAGCGTTGCTTCCAGAGGAAGCATTAAGGTTCAGGGAATGCCTGTGGATTACTGTGTCATGGAGTCGGTGGAAGATAATATGTGATCACATTATCAGCGTTGATCGGTGCAGCCCTCCCAGCCCTCTTCACCCATTTAAAGGGGGATTTGCAAGCGGTGGGTGTGGGGGGAGGTGGGGCAAGGGCACTGAGAATGCTGACGGGGCATCTGAGCTCCCCTGGGGAATCCCAGCTCTGGCTGGACGGCTTCTTGTTCTTCTCTGTTGAATGGGTCAAGTTCCTGTTTCAGCTCTTACCAAACTCTGCTAGATGCTGACTTTCCTGAAAGAGAAGAGAAAAAGCAAACAAACAATGAATCGTGGGGCTGACAGTTTCTCCCTTTGCTTTTCCAGCCAGAAGAGTTAACGAGTCTGCACAGTTTTAAGAACAAAGCCTTTAAGAAACCCCAGGTCTGCGGGGTTTGCAAGCAGATTATCGACAGCCAAGGGATCGCATGCCGAGGTGAGCACCGTTTCTCATTTCCTTGCTAATAAAACCAAAATGCAGCAGACACACAAACAAAAACCAAAATGAAAAGCTGCTTTCGGGAGTTTCCAAAAGTTAAATCATGGAATTCCCCTTTGGAGCCAGTGTTTACCCCCCACCCTTACTGGGGCAGGGACCCACTGTATTTACCCAGATTCGCTGGGGAGGGAACTTTTGGGGAGGGAGCAAAGCTGCTGGCACGGGTGAGGGGAGGCAGTGAGCAGCTGTGACGTGCCCTCCCTCCACGATGGGGGCCCTGACTCAGGTTATCCGGTCTTGTGCTCTGACCTCTCAGTGAGTTTAGAACCAAGAGCTCTGCAGCTTGGAGGCAGGGCAGACCCTCCAGCCTGGCGTCAAGGCTCTGATGCTCAAGCCCCAGGTTGGTCGTGCGCTTGTGCAGTGATGAATCTGGGTAGTGGGCCGGTGAGAACAGTGTTGCTTGTATCCCTGGAGCCCTAGAATCCCGGTTGGGGGTCGTGGGTCCATGTTGCAGAGCACAGGCAGGTTGGGGACTGGGGCCTGGAGGAGGCATGGGGCCCGCCCTGTGGTGTCCTCTCTTTGGTGGGGTGTCCCCAGCAGGCTTCTGTGGTGTTGCGACTGCCTCTCGGCTCCCCTTTCTCCCTGAGGGGCCCTAGTCCTCAGTCCCTGTGGGTTGCTTTGGGGAGGGGCCGCCGGGGAGGAGGGTCAGACTTCCGTGTGGGGTGGGGGAGACCTGGACACTCAGGGTCTCTCTTGCAGGGAAAGGGCCTGAGTGTGGGAGGGCTGGTGTGTTTGCTTCTCAGAAGGACCCTGTGTCATTCTTGCTGATGGTGCTTCCAGAGCCATGAGCATGTCACCACCTCTGTCAGTCCTTCCTGCCATGGCCTCTGGGGGTGAGGGCTGCTGGGGATGCCCTCCCCACGTGACCCCCTTTTCTGTCCATGGGCCCCTCTCCCTTCTCCCTGGGGGCAGCCTGTGTGATGGGGCCTGGGGGGCTTCCCGTCACCTGGCCCCTGCGAGCTGTAGCGCGGGCCAGAGAGGTCTTGTATGGTGGGATGTAGTGCTCTTGTCTTAAGGGATCACCATGATGGCTCCAAATGTGACTGTATGATGGGCACCCCTGTGACACTGTCAGGAGAAGAAGGCCTGTGGAAGGAACAGTCTCCCTGGGATCAGAACAGGAGACTTGAGGTATCTCCCCTGCCCCCGAGTGTGGGCATGTGGGGGCAGGTTGTGGGCACGCTGCTCCCAGAGCTGGAGTTTGGAGCCTGGCAGGGTCACCCTGGGTGTAGACGGGGCCCGGCAAGATCCCCGTGGGTGACTGTGATTGGCTGCTCAGAGGATACCGTAGCCCTTCCTTGGTTCTTTTCCCTGCCCCCGATGAAATGTAGTTAATTTCTGTAGTCTGTTCCTTTTGTCAGTAAACTGTAGAGACTGTGCAAAGACACCATGAGTAGTTTGTCTCCTGTGATCTATACATGTCACGTGCGGCTGCGTGTTGAGCCCATGTACGTGATGCCTGGAGACAATGAGGCGTGCCCTGACATACTTTGTCTAAGTGGTCATGCACGCTGGCTCTGTGAGGTTGTGGCGGAGGGGGCTTTTCTTTGGTTCATTTCCGGAGAAGCAGTAGGTATGCTGGAGCTGAGCGAGGATGGTGGAGTTGGGCAGCTGGGGTTCCCATTCTGTTTCTCTGTGCTTGAATTTTCCTTTAGAGTTACTGTGAATGACAGATTAAGTACATGTGGAACACACAGGGCATTGACTGGATCGTGAAAGTGTCCAGTAGTCTTAGAGATGATGGTGGTGATGTTGGTGATGAGGATGTTGGTGATGATGATGATGATGGTGATGATGATGATGATGGTGGTGATGATGATGATGATGGTGGTGATGATGGTGATGATGGTGATGATGATGATGATGGTGATGATGATGATGGTGGTGATGATGATGATGGTGGTGATGATGGTGATGATGGTGATGATGATGGTGATGGTGGTTTTGATGATGGTGATGATGGTGATGATGACTGTGATGATGGTGACAGTGATGATGATGGTGACATTGGTGGTGATGGTGATTGTAATGATGATCATGATGGTGGTGGTGGTGATGATGGTGATGTGGTGATAATGGTGGTGATATTGACGATCATGGGGATGATGATGATGATGCGGATGATGATGACAGTGGTGACGTTAGTGATGGTGTGGATGATAACGCTCATTGTAATGATGATCATGGTGATGGTGGTGGTGACAATGAAGATGGCGATGATGATGGTCATGATGTGATGATGAAGATGATGATGATGGTGAGGCGGAAGAAGATGCTGCTGCTGGTGACGTTGATGATGACGGTGGTGACCTTGATGATAGTGTTGGTGATAATGCTGGTGGTGGTGGTGTTGACAGTGATATGATGATGGTGCTGCTGGTGGTGATGGTGATGGTAGAGAAAGGTGCGGGTGTGTTCTGTGACTCATGCTCCTATTTGTGCTATTCCTTTTCTGGCTCATTCTTGACCTTCAAGTCCCTTACTTTCATATTTAACCTCCTGATTTACCTCATATTTCATATGTAGCAAGATTAGGAGAAAAAGCTTCATTTTTATGAAGCTGGATGTTTGGCATAGAGGCTTTCTTATCTCTGATTCTGGAACCTAACAGGAAAAGACCAAGATGTCATTGAGGGTGGTGATATGGTTAAGTGTCTGCTTGTGGCTCACCTCATGCCGCCCAGAACCCTGCTGATGCCACCCCAGCTCTGTGCCCTTGTCACCAGTTAGGGCTCTGTGGTAACCTGTTCTCACTGCTCCACCAGGTTCCCTTGGGTGGTTTGAAGTAATGATGCTTTCAAGTTGTCACTGATGATGCTTTTATGAACCCAACCTGGTCATACTTTAGGTGAGGCAGCAGGAACCCATGGTGCAGGTTATCTCGGTGTTCTGGTACTGAGTGGGTGTTGAGAGATGTGAGTTCAGGGAGATTTTGGCCCCCAGAGGGGGACGGTCTTGGAGGGTGCAGGGTCAGACCAAGCAGAAGTGATCCCGTTGCAAAGGGTTTGCTTGGATCTCATTGTGAAATAGGACAGAACAGACTGGAATGGAAAAGTGACAGAGAATGAAGGAATGCTGCATTGAGGGACCCTCTAGGGAGGAGCCTGAGGAGGTGAAGGTTGAGAAAGGGAGTAACAAGGAGGCCAGAGGAAAGTAGAATGAGGGAGTTTTGTAAGGAAGATCTGGTGATGACTTTTCCCCTTTAGTAAACAAACTGTGTGTTAAGCACTTCCTAAAATGAGAGGATGAGAAAGCTGTGCCTCGTGTGTGAGGAGCTCACGCTCTGAGTTGGGGGGGGTTCTGTCTGTGAGGGGCACATGGTCTGAGGGAGGAGTCCTGTCAGTGAGGCACTCATGGTCTGAAGGGGGAGTCCTGTCTGTGAGGAGACTCTAACAGTCTGAGGGAGGAGTCTGTCAGTGAGGAGGCACCCATAGTCTGAGGAAGGAGACCCATCTGTGAGGGGTCTGTCACGGTCTGAAGGGGACATCCTCTCTGGGAGGGGCTCATAGTCTGAAGGGGGAGTCCTGTCTGTGAGGCCATCATGGTCCACAGTATACTAAGCGATTATTGATGAAGACTTGGGTAGACTGCAGATCGGGAGGTACACTTGGTAGGTGCTTGCTTTGTGCCAGACGCTGTGACACAGCCCTAGGACATGGTGGCAGTTAGGACCAACAAGTCAACTGAGAGAGCAGCATGGCTGAGCAGTGACTGTTAGGGCAGGCTGCCCTGTGCTGGGGCCTCTGGTCCCCTCCTGTCTGTGTAGCCGGTTACTGGGAACCCAGAGAAGCTGGTGAACTTGAGTGTAGATGGGCAAGAAGCCGGGAAGCAAGGGCTCATCTCTCCCTTGGTAAATATGTGAGGAGTGTTGTATAAAAGCTTCCGACGGGCCTGTAAGACAGTGGCCTGGATTCCCGAGGCTCCTGCGGACATTTGGAAGAATAGCAGTTCCGAGACAAATGTAAAAATGTCTGGTGCTTTAGAGCCAGATGCTCTGGACCGTGGCTGGTGCGGCGGGAGCCAGGATTCTTACCCCGGGCTTTGGAAACCCTTGAGTGGCACAGGAGCTGGTGTGTGGTGGTGGAGACAGCGCTCCGGCGAACTGGATGTGTGTGTCATCGAGGCCTGGAAGACCTATGAGAAGCACATGCACCGCGGACCCTGGGCCCTCTCTGACGCGGGGCTCTGCTGAGTGTGGGGCGGGAACGGGCTCCCACCCGCACCCTGTGGCCTTGAGCTCCACTCGCTCTCTCGCTTGTTGCTTGGCGGATTTCCATGTTTGCAAGTCGACGGACGCACAAAAAAGTGGTATCTCCCTTGATTGTATTTTTCATTCACCTGGTTATTACTTGAGGTTGAGGCTCTATGTGGACACTGTGGTGTCTGTGGTGTTCATTTTATTTTATTTTATTTATTAAAATATTTTATTTATTTATTTGACAGAGACACAGTGAAAGAGGGAACACAGGCAGGGGGAGTGGGAAAGGGAGAGGAAGAAGCAGGCTCCCTGCGAAGCAAGGAGCCTGATGCAGGATTTGATCCCAGGACCCTGGGATCATGACCTGGTCTGAAGGCAGACGCTTAACCGACTGAGCCACCCAGGTGCCCGCAAATATTTTGTAAAAATTAGATTATTTATTATCTTTCCTTCTTGAATTCAAAGAATTCATTATCCTATAAATATTAATCATTTTATCCGTGACATCTGGCAGAACATTTGCCAACCTTTGATGGACTTTGACCCATGGGCATGTGAGTTTCTTACCGTGTTAGACCTTCTGCGCGGCAAACCTTCCAGGCAGTTGTTTGCCTGGTTCTGTCTGTGGAGTCTTTATCTCGGGGAAGTTTTAAGGTGCGGCTTGTTCAAACCTACCCATTACTTCATTTAATCTCTGTGTTTGATTGTTATTTAAGTCACTTTCCCTTCTCTGTGGCCA